TATATATATATATATATATATATATATATATATATATATATATATATTTTAAACTTTTTTTAATTATTCTATAGAGTAGAAACTTAATGAATTTATTGTAAATAACGATTATTACAACTGCTTAATGTAATATGAAGTTAAATATTTGATATAATTTGTTTAATAAAATATATTATTTCAATCAAAAATATTTATTATATGTAAAATATATGTAAAATATTTATTTATTTGCATTCTTTCTTTTGAACCCTGATTGGAATTGAAATTTTTACAACATTCTATACTATTTTAACTTTAAGAGAGAATTAAAAGAATAAAATAAAAATTTAATGTAGCAAAATAATATGAATCAAATTATTAAATAATAGTGATTAGTAAATAAAAATAAAAATAAATAAAAATAAAAAAACGACAGTGAAAAATAACAAATCGAAAAAACAACTGTATAGAGATGCCTATCCCATCTATAGTTGATATTAATAGACATATTATAACCATTTTTAATCAGTCAACAATTTTATTTCTATTGTAACATAATGTTTGTTTTGTAAATTTTTAATTTTTAATTTTTAATTTGCACCATATTCATAGTTTCCTCACGTGATAAGCAAGTTTATCACAATAAAAGATTAATATTTCATTTGCTATGTAACAAATTTTTTGAACGTATTGATTGGTTATATAGCAGTGAAATTTTCAGATTTTCAAAAATACTTCCTCTTGTATGTAACCGATCAAAGCGTTCAAAAATTCTATCGTACGACAAATGTCGTACATAATATTACCCTTAAGGCGAATGCCTATGTGAATTTTCAATTCGATTGCCATGGCTACTAAATTTTGCGCGAAAATACTTGTCGTAAGATAAGGACAACACAATAGCCAATTACATTTTATTTTTATGGAGAAATAATAAATTGATTGGCTATTGCATCGATTCATGCGCGTTCCATGTGTAGAAGCCATAATTCAATGCCAATAATGCTGACATCAGTTATGTCACCGACAAGATAGTGATGTGCACTTGATTATTTATACTCGTTCAAATTTGTCGTGCAAAAAGTTCATCTTTCATCTTTCGAGATGTATCTAGTTGGGTTGACAGGTGGCATCGCTACTGGGAAAAGTACGGTTGCTGCTGTCTTTCGAGAATATGGCATTCCTGTTATAGATGCCGATTTAATTGCCCGGAAAGGTTAGGACTACATATTGCACTTTACCCTGTCAGATATATCCTCAAATGTCATTAAATGACATTTCATTTTTTACTCTTAATATCATTCCTCTTATTCTTTCTTTACTTCCCCATTTTTTACTTTAATATCATTCCTATTTAATATATTTTTATTTTTACTTTTATTTTATTGCGTCATATTTGTTTATTATTATTTATTTTTCATCGTTAAACAATACGCGCTTATATATTTTGTTTTTAACGTGAAATTTACTCAATATTGTAAATTATAATTGCACAATAAAAACGAGTGTAAAGTTTATTAATCACGAAACGCTGCATTCGCGAAATTTTGTTGAAATAGATTAAGCATCCATGGATTCGGAGCTTTTTATCGATTATGTGATAATACTTTTTAAATATAAGAAACAAAGAATATATATGAAGTGTGTGTGTGT